AAATGACATAAAATAGTCGGTTGAGGAAGAAAGGGATAAAATTAATGAAAACAGCAAAGAAAGAAGCAAACAGGCGAAAACGAAAGACGTGGAAAGGAGGTGGCGTAGCATTAAGATCCATTATTATTTATGGTATCTCGGCGTTGTAAATCTTAAAAAGCTATTCTAAGTAGCTTTTGTAGTTATAATTTCTGATGAGTGTATTAAAAAAAAGAATTTAGACAAAGTGGGAGACACAAAACGGGGAATGTATGAAAGAAAAAAAAAGATAAAAGAAAAGAATGCTGTTGATGAATATAAGAACGATTCATTAATTGGATGAAGAAGAAAGAAAATAAAAATACAGATGACAAAAGTTAATGAAAGTGAAGAACGAAAAAGGAATTTTCGAAGTTTTCAGAATAAAGTAAATGAAAAATGGATGTTTTGAAGAATTGTTAAATGAAAATGAAAAAATACAACTGACTGAACGAAATATATCAAAACTGAAAATATTCAAAGATAAAAAAAAAAAAATTGAGAAAACGCAATGAAACATAAATGAAGTTAAAATAAAAAGTAAAAAGGATAATAAAATATAGTAACTGGGTCATGAAGTTATTTTGAAATCGAATTCAAGAAAACGATAAGAAAAAAATTCAAAAAGGAATAAACTTAAGGCAATAGGTGTGAGATATACTGATAGGGTGGATAACAGAAGAGAAATAAAAATAACATCTTAAAAAAAGAATTTTAGGGCGGAGTTTGAATAATATTTTACGAAAAATAATGAAATAAAGTAGAGAAATAGTAAAAAAAATGGAAGGAAGAGACAATAAATAATGAAATTCAATAAGGATGTAAATGCAACCGATAATGAGAAATATCTAAGAAAGAAAGAAATGCAACAAAAATGGTTATCTACTGTCTTTCGGATTACTCTTCTATTCTTTTCGTTCCTTCTTAATGTTATCTGTTTTCTAATTCTTTTTCATTTTGGTAACCTCTTGTGTCTTAGTGGCTTTACAGCCTTGTTTGGTGTAAATTCAACCAAAAGAAAAAAAGAAAAATAAATGAAAGAGGAAACAAAATAATATAGAATAATAATAAAAAAACTAAACGTCGTGTTTCCTGTAATAGTTTGCAATCTCGTCTTGTGGTATATTAGTTTATAGAGTCAGTTTGATTAATATTCTTGTTCTAAAGTTGTTTTCGTGTACCTTATTAAGCTAAGATCAGTAGATACCAAAGAGGGGAATATTTTGAGGGCTAGAACGAAAGTAAAACAAAAAGAAAATGGTAAGAATGAATTATCACATTGAAAAAGAATCACAAAATATTATTGATCTAAACGGAAAGGAGTATGGACAAAAAGCAAAGGTTATGTTTAGAAAAAAATGTTCAAAACATAACAAAAGTAAATCAAACAGCTGATAAAATAAAAAAAAAACATCATTATGAGATAAGGTAATATAAAAAAGAAAAAAGGTACCTAAGGTAATATATAAAAAAGGTACCTAAGGTAATATATAAAAAGAAAATTAGAATATCATCAAAGATGAACAGTGAATACCGAAAGAAGTTGAAAATATGTCGTTAATGTTATAAATAACTGGAAAGGAAATGGAGAAGAGAAATAAAGGAAAGTAAGTGAAAAATAAAAAAGTCAACACAAAATGTAGCGTTTCAAAAATAAGAAGAAATATTGCTCAAAGAGAAAAAAAAAGAAGGCGAGCAGAAATGAAGTCAAGGATAAACCAAGTGTGAGCTAACATTGCATCTAACTTCAAAACAGGTCAAATTGTTGTATCGACTAACAATAAGAAAGCTGTATCTCAACGTATAATGTCGAGTCAGCGTTTAATTTCTTCTCTGGACTGCAAAAATCAGAGTAGAATAGTTAGAAAGAAGGAAAAAGTAAAAAGAAGCATAAGTGAAAGAATTAAAGAAAGAAAGAAAGAAAGAAAGAAGGAAACAAAGCAGCATCAAAACAATATCCGATAATGATAATTTAAGAACACAGTAGAAGAATATATGTACAGCGGGTGCTGAAAAGTTGTTGGCTCGTCCAAATTACTAAAATCTGACCTGACAAAAGAAAACACCACTTTTGAAAAAATTTTCTTGTTTGAGCAGAGAAATTTTCAGCACCTCCTCAGATGCATGAGATATAACACAAATACAAAGAATTAGATTAGACAATGTTACAGTGGAGTGGGCAAATATAAAAAAAAAGGTGTCAAAGCCTGGCCGAGTAAAACAGAAAAAGGTTCTAGTAGCAGCTTAAATTGATCATTTGTGATTTGGTGCACTCGGGAATGATTCCAGGAATTATTCTGCCTCGAAAGACGCATTTGAGATACCTGGCCTCATTGAGAAGGCAGGGACTGCTGCGTTTCTTAGCAAAACTCATGTACTAGTATTATGTCGCTACGTTGCGAGTGGGAGGTGAGATATACCCATCATCACTCTGTCGAAAAATGTAATACCTATACACACATGAAACCAAACAAAATGAAAAAGAACAAAACTAGCAAACCCAACCTTAAAAGTAGACTCGACGTATGCCATCTCCTACATCAACGTGATGAGGCTACGTTCCAACTTTCCAAAAGTGGAATACCATCTTCAATCCAAACCAGACCTCTTGTTACTTTCTGAAACCAGTATAAACGCTTCAAGCGCATTAGAAAAGCTCACAATCCCGGGATACACACCTCATATAGCTAAAATCGACCACCAAAATTGTCACGCAGCCTATATCATGTGGCAGGGACCAAAAAAAAAACAAACAAACAAACGAGGAACCCGATCTCCCGTATATGTGCTTACGCGTGACACTTATCCATAGTACCACATTTATCTTTGCTCTCTATCGACCTCAAGACGAAGGGACGGTAATATTCAACTGAATATCTACGAAGATTGATAATATACACACTCAGTTTCCCTCAGCCAGATTTTATATCTACGCCGACTTCAATATCTACCATAAAGTATGGTTAATCCGCTCCAAGAAAACCGATGATGAAGGTAGAGTCTTCTCCATCACCCAGGAACTACCTATGTCCCGATTTCGACAGGACATCAGACGAATTTGTTTGATCTTTTTCTAACATCTTGCATTGATAAGTGCTTTGCAAATGTCCCACTCTAGGCACGTCAGACCATTTCCGAATCAGTGTCCAAATTTATATCAAACCTAACCCATCCCCTGATGTACAGTTGCATAGAACAATTTTTCTTTATGTGAAGAAATAGACAGCTTTCGAGTCTGCATGATGGAAACTCCCCTCCCAACCTACGTCAAGTATGCTGCATCCCAAACTGTCACCTTTGGCACTGATTGGTTCACACCTGAATGCGATGCAGAAGTTGAAACCAAAGTTAAAAAGAAACCAATTGGATCCCGTGAATTCTGGAAGCTCGCCAGCCAAATCATGAACAAAAGTAAACAGCTGTGGCCACAATTATAAATGGCCCCGGAGGTCATATCTTCCTCGACAGATATGGAAAAAACCTTTTCACCTCTATCCTTGCCTCTGACTCAATGTTAGAATGACAAAAACCATCTAATAACTGACATCCATTAAACAGTCTACTCCAGTGAGCGAAATAAAGAGTTTAGTTCGACATTCCAGCCACCTGAAGAATTTCGGAGCGTACAACGGTAGAAACTTTGTAATAAATATGGCGAAAAAGATGAGGACAATAGTCCGAATAATGTAAATAGTGTACATAATACCTCATCTCAGAAATATAGGCAGATACTGAAGGGCAGAAACGTTGTAATAAATATGGCGACAAAGATGAGGACAATAGTCCGAATAATGTAAAGAGTGTACATAATACCTCATTTCAGAAATATAGACAGATACTGAAGGGCCGAAACGTTGTAATAAATATGGCGACTAATGTAAATAGTGTACATAATACCTCATCTCAGAAATATAGTGAGAAAAAGGACGAGAAATAGGACGAAAGTTAGAATAAATAAATAATTATATAAATAGAGAAAGAAAGATAGAAAAGATAAATAAAGGACAAAAAAATCCTATGTGGCGAAATAACTGTTGAAAAGTTTGTCTAGGAGATTCTTACAAGTTCGTACAAAATATTTCCCAACATTTTGGCTAAATCTAATTCGCAAATCAAAATTATTTACAAACTTTTAATAAAATGGTGCGTTATTACTTCCTTGCATTTTGAATCTAGTCAAGTGAACAAGTGCGAAGTTATGCGATTTAATACGATTGATGTGTTTGTACATGAACCTCTCCTTGTCGACATCGTTTTGTGCGGTCTCGTAAAAGAATTTAATATAGCCGACGGTGCCTCTTAGTCGGATACCAGTCTCCTTGCATGCAACTATAATTCCATGACGTATGATCGGACGACATTCTTGACTCATAATTTTAAAGAGGTCAGATCGATAAAAATTAAGAGGTATTGCTCAAGTAGTAGTGCGTACTGCAATCGGATAAGACAGTTGTATTGAAAAGACAACTAAGAGTAACGGCATTATTCTATTGATTTCAAGAAGGAAAAAAAGCCTATAAATAGTCACGTCCTTCCTGTTACTACTCAACCAATGTAGTTAAATACCCATACCTGCTTGATTTTGTCCTCATCAATACATAAATCTCTACTTATTTTTCTACTAATGTACTCGCATTCATGAATTTGTGCAACAGCTATGTAATATCAATCTGCTTATCCAGGGGTGAATGGATGATAGTCTCCTTGCAGATGAATAGGACACTCACAAACAGACAGTTAAAATAATGGAGAGCGTGGATATTTAATAATGTGGCACTCACAAGACATGATGAATCCAATAAAAGAAGAGGGAAAGATCAAATAACATATCTAATGTGTTTGTGCTAATGAAGGGGAAAAACAGAGACTAACAGAGATAATAAAAGAACAATTAATGCCTTTTAGAGGTACAAAGACTAGAGTTTGTGGAGAGCCATGATCACTCAAAAGTGGGATATCTATCTATCTATCTATCTATCTATCTATCTACTGATTGATAGATAGATAGATAGATAGATATGAAAATGACTGAGATAGATAGATAGATAGATAGATAAATAGATAGATGTGAAAAGGACTGAGATAGATGAGATAGATAGATAGATAGATAGATAGATAGATGTGAAAAGAACTGAGATAGTTGAGATAGATAGATAGATAGATAGATAGATAGATAGATAGATAGATAGATAGATATGAAAAGGACTGAGATAGATAGATATGAAAAGAATTGAGTCAGATAGATAGATAGATAGATAGATAGATAGATAGATAGATAGATAGATAGATAGATATGAGATTGAAAGATATGAAAAGGATTGAGATAGATGAGATATGTAGATAGATAGTGTTATGGTCCAGGTCCTTGGACCACGGTGATGGTTCAAGGTAGAACCAATAAAGAAGAAATCGAACACGGATATGGAATAACACAGATATATTACAAACAGGAACATATACAGAGAAGTAGAAAGTGTTAGTAATGAACAATCAGGTGTAGTAGGGAGAACAATGTAGTCTCGACCAGTATCACTATTCCAATGTCTTGTAGTAATTGTCTGAACGCGACTATGTTTTGGACTGCCTCTGATTCGACTGACTGACTCGCTCGCTCTGACTGACTGACTGACAGACTCCTGACGGACTTCTGACGGACCTCACTCCAAACTTTAGACTGAACTCCCTGCTTCCTCTTGAGGCGCAGTATTTATTACGTATGGAATAGTCCATTATGTTATTATGGGTAAGGTCCCATAACAGATAGATAGATAGATAGATAGATAGATAGATAGATAGATAGATAGATAGATAGATAGATAGATATGAAAAAGAACTGAGATAGATATGAAGAGGAAATATAGATATATAGATACATATGAAAAGGACTGATATATATATATATATATATATATATATATATATATAGAGAGAGAGAGAGAGAGAGAGAGAGAGATAGAGAGATAGAGATAGATATGAAAAGGACTGAGATAGACAGATATGAAAAAGACTGAGATAGATAGATAGATAGATAGATATGAAAATGACTGAGATATATAGATAGAGTCACTATGACGCAATTGGTTTACTGCGTGAGAAAGAATATGAGTCAAAGAAAATCATTATTAAGGAAATAGAACGATAAAACAACAGGAATTCAGACAGAAAATTGGTATTGCATTTAAAATTACAAAGCACATAACTCAATAACGTTCATTTAAAGCTTCAACGCCCAAATATCATTCAAAATCGAAGATTACTGTGTGGTGTTTTATGAGCATAAGAAAAGGCAAAGAAGTGAAGTACATGAAGTCATGTACAAAAGATTGCCCTAGTTATCCCTAGACTTTAACAGGACTTGATTGTAATGATTGCGAAAACATCCCCGAGCGAAAAATCTTATTAATTGAATACAAAGGGAATGGGGATGATTCATTCTTGAGTGCGTATCATGATGAGTCTCAAGTACAAAGGTCAGAGCTGGTGTAACCAAAAAACAGAAATCAAGATATCGATGAAAAATTCCAATAATAAAGTTTTAAGTGAATTTCAACGTTAATATTTATAGAAAAATTTATTGAAACTCATTCCTCTACCTTTCGTCAACATTCTTCCATTCTCCTAGATTTAGCCTTTTTCTGTTCTAAATGTTTTTACATTCTTACAAAGATTTTTTCCTAGTGACATAATTTTGTAGATCTCAAAAGAATTGGTAAATCAGATAAAAACGTTCAGCTTCATATGACATTCTAGCCAAGCTATGACAATTTCTGCACTGATTGCCAAAGACATATCTGGTGCTTACCTGATGGAAAACAACACATTTTCCGATTGGCAATTCCGAACGTTTTCATGGATTTCTACGTTTAATCTGTTCAACTGGGAAGAATATATTTTTTTTTTAACTCAACTCTGATTTCTCTTGGAAGGAGCTCGTAATACAAGATGCTCGTTCAATTTCAACAGACACAATGCATCACTTTCTACGGATGTCTCCCTAAACCCGGGTCATCCAAGACGTTCAATACATGCGGCTGATGGATGGAGGAATCACTTCGATCTAGGTCCAACCTTCTCCCACCTTACGATTTGCTGGATCGTAAGGCAGCCAAGAAGGAATCTTCGTATGGTATCTTTGTATTGAGCTGGTTCAAATAGGGCGAAGACGCACAGTAAAGAAATGACACTCAAATAAACTAAAATAAATGAATAAATCCTGTCCTTCGTAATTGGTTAAATCAAGAGTTCGCATGCAACAATTATCGACCAAACCCGCTTCTAACTCGGACGTAACACTTTTGCTTACTTGGTAAAGTTTTTTTGAAGTCGGAGGTTTTTGTCGTCAAATATCACATAGGGTTGTCTCGCGTCAGGTGGCTGGAACGAACTCTCTGTCGTATCGTCTCGGATATTCGTATTTATTGACATTCGTCCAAACTGGGGTGGGCTACGGCGCAGAGGGAGAATTCGGTATTTCCCCTTTCTGTCATCATTTTGGGGGAAAAACCTTCTTTCACGGGTGATGGTTTCTGGTAACAATCCACCTCATAAGTTCTTATTTTCTCTTATTATCATCTCCCAGTAATCCACCTCAGTAGGTGTGGACAGCTCCTCCACCTTCCTTGGTGTCTCATCTGCGCCTATCACCTCAGCCATTCTCCAGTTAAGGATGTTGACTGCCCCGGAGCGAAGACAACAGAAAGATTAATTCTAAGTTTTTTATTTACGCAAAAATAAAAACTCCCTACCGTGTGTTTTCATTGTCCAAAACTGACGTACAATCAATTCTAAATGCAAAAAAAATCTTTCTCCGTCATCTCATATTTTCTAATATACAAGTCTGACACGCAATTCTAGCTGGCTGTCTAAGCCTTTTAAGATTAATCAGGGGTCACTCGACAAAAGAATTCTTATCTCCGAATTATGATTTTTAAATTCTATTTGATTTTCTCTCTGCCCTTTTAATAGCCCGTAATTTTAGCTGGGTGTCATCAACTAATGTCGACAAATATTACCCTATGACCCGTCGTAGTTGAATATCTTTGTCTCCACTAGCCATCTGCTTCCTGCTTCATCTATGCAAAGGTGTTTATTCATTAACCCTTCTTGTTTTTCAGGGGTCTATCAGTATATCGTTCAGGCTATTTATTAACACTTGTTTATTAATTACCAATAACAAATAGTGTCACAAGTATGCAAACCGTCTTATCGAGTATTTGACGGTGGCTCATTTAATTTTTTGAATGATTCTTTCTGCTCCGCATTGTTTCAAACAGTCCGTTTCCCATCGACTGTCGTTGTTCCTTTGAAATAACATGAGGTTTTCGGTACGTTTGCGCAGAGAATCACAGATAATTTTCCCGTTCAATGGTAAGGCACTCAAACACAAATTCCGAATACAAATGCTTTCAAATATCTGAAAGGGCTAATATAAGATATGTAGAGTATCTCTACCAAGCGCGCAGTAGTGTGACATGAACTGTTTAAATAAAGGTTTCTCTTTGATCAACATCATCGACCGCAGACCTGTGGGAACGTTCTTGATCTTCCATATGAATTGTTTCACCTTTGAACCTATTGAAACTTTTACGAACAATACCCTCAGCTGTGGCACCATATCCTTTTTTATTGTTTGTAGTACGAATTTTCCGTTCCATAGAATAGAGAAGGAAATGGCAAAAATGCATCTCATTTTCATCCATCTTCACTTTAGGTGTAAAAATATTTAAAATTCAACAAACACACACACACACACACACACACACACACACACATATATATATATATATATATATATATATATATATATATATATATATATATATATTACGCACGAGTTTCGATCAAAAGGTATCGGTATTTTGCTATAAAAAGAAAACTACAATACATATCAATTCGGCATTTAATGTCCTTCGAAGTAGTTTCCTTCTGAAGCCACACACTTTATCCATTGTCGTTTTGATTGATGGGAGCATTTGTGGAACTCATTTTTGGGGATGCAAGTAGCAGTTTGATCGTATTCTTTTAGATAAACTCGACGTCTTGAAATTGGTTTTGCTTAAATGCTCAATCCATGGTATTCCCAGCATCCTTCTGCCGAACCACCTTTCTGGTTCTCTGATATTTTTCAACTGCAATCGGATTACCAACATTCACTGCCATATAGAACGATTTATATTATATAAATATTTAGCACACTTTTCTTTTTTCTAACGAAATTTTCCTGTCTTAATACGTTGCTTAACTTTTGGAAAGGCATCATTCCCTATCCCAATACCTTTCGGTTTCATTTTTTCTGCCACATTTTCCTTTTATTTATTAAAAATATATAACGTCTCCATTTTTGTATTTACTTGGGTTGTTCCTTTTGCTGACAGCCAGACATTTTATATTCTTACATTTAATGTTATTCTTTTTTTCCCCTTTCTTACGATAACGAACGCGTATCACTGACTTGGGTGTTAATAACATTCCAATTGTAGCTTTACCTACCACCTTCAGAATAAACAATATATAACATCATATTCACAAGGATTGCTATCGTCACTATTTCTTATATTCGGTTTACATTACAGAAAATAAAATTCTTATGCAGCAATTAAAGATGTCTGATTTTCTACTGATAACTCAACGAAAAATTACACTGTAAAAAAATCGACCTCATCCACATAAAGTGACACTCCTGCTAATATTGAGACATTTCTTTATTTTATTCATAATCATAATTTTATCTTTATCTTTAGAATATTTTTTTCGAACATAGATGAATCCTTTGATAATTTGGCGAAATTTAATCTTTTCACACACTTGGCCGAATATTTGTTTTTGTGTTATTTTCTGTTGTTTCATATTTGATGCATCTCATCATTCCAAATACTAGACTTGCAAATTAAGTATCTTTTTTTTTAATCATAGTTGGTTGCGATCTGGAAGACAGTTAATTTTCGATTACAAATATATATATATATATATATATATATATATATATATATATATATATATATATATATATATATGTTTTTTGTAGTAAATTTATATCTATTTTACCGGTTACTTATCGAAATTTCTTTTTCTTCCACTTAATTCATTTTTAGTTGATTCACAAACACACATATACGCACACGCACACGTTGATCCTTATATATTAGAATATTTTTATTTATTTGCCATGAGAGAAAATTAATTAACGCTAAATACTGAAAGAAGTGGAAATTAAAATTAAATTATTGCTTTCAAGCCAAAAGAAATCGTGAAAAGTATTTTATTGTTTTTCTAATAAGCTCAATAAAAACAAATAAATCTATTTTAATAAAGTGAATGATTATTTGATTAAAAAAACATTTGTCAAAACTGAAATGTTATTAGTTTCTAAAACTACAGGGTGTTGCAGCAAATCCGACACTTGACAAAGAGAAAACGAAATAGGCAATACAATCAAAAGTTGTATATTCAGAGACCCGACAGTTTATTTAGCAACAGTTAGAGTTACATACTACATCATTTTTAAATGTAAAAAAAGAAGAACCTCAGCATCCCGGTGGACCCGTGCTTGAGCTCGTTCAGCAAAGCCGCCGCCTTGACCTTCTTCGACACATTTGAGGCATTTGTGATGAGCATACGGTGAGATTTGCGGTAGGAGGAGTAACCAATGATCGTTCGGCAGGTCGTCATGTCAGCGGCGATCTTGGCGTAGGTCTGGCTTCCATCATTGCCAACTGTCTCCTTGACGGCGGCGACGAACTCGTCAGTCCTAACAGCCGAAGAACGAACGTTGTGGGCCTTTTATTTGGCAGTAAACTCGTCTCTGTTCTCACACGACTTCCACCTCCTTGAAATGTCCATGACCATGTACCTCTTGAACCCAAACCAGGTGATCACTTCCGCAGGCTTCTTTCCGACGCGAAAAGAAGCTACTACCGCTGCTCTGCGCTCATATTCCATCCTGGAAAAGGGTAGAGAGAAAAACGTTAGTTAGTTGTCAAACTGTTGGGTCCCTGCATATACAACTTTTGCTTTTATTACCTATTTCGTTTTGTTTTTGTCAAGTGTCGGATTTTGCTGCAACACCCTATATAAAACTGAAATATCAACACTGCATACTTCACTCTATACACTGTTTACTTCCCTTTACTCCAAAGCTAAATGTTACATCGGTTACCAATTTTATTACAAATGGACACAATGAAATAATCAATTATGTATACAGATTACAAAAACAAAATTTGTATGAATAATGACATAGCAATGCCTGGCAACACGTATCCGTGTATGCGTGTCTACTAGGGTGGCTAGCCAATCCCTGTTTCAAACGCCTACTCAGGCACATTTATGTTTGTACAATACCAACAGAGTCCATCTGTTGTTTATACGGTATGCTGAAAGGAATTTAGAATTTCTGAGAGAGATGGCGTGATCAGTACCACTACACACACACACCCTCTGTCCCAATTACTTGTCACTTACTTGGCACAACCCTCAACAGTCCTCAAATAGTTGCGGCTACCCTGTTTCACTCTTACGACTTGGGTCGTCTGGTTGTATTTTATTCAGGCACTTCCCAAATGTGCAGCAAGCTGCGACATCACCAGCAGGCCAATAAAATCAAGGCGTCACCTTATTGATAAATCCAACCTTTGGAAGATTTGAACGTGGGACTCATGGCAGGAAAGCGAACGTTCTAGAAAATTAATCAAAAAGAATAATAACAGACTTACATTATATTGATTTATACACGTTAATATGGCGGATAACGATTTGCGTTATATAATAAGCAGTAATATGATCAAAATATACGACAGATTCTACTATCTATAAAGGATTAATAAATTTTCTTTCATGATTACGTTTTACACAGTATTTGCTCAAACACACAGACAAATGTGCGTGCGCACAATATCACTAATTCGACCGTATACGCATAAGCAACGATTTTGCGCTTTTTAGTAAAATATCTATAGGATAATGGGAAGATTATCTCTTTTCTTATAAGGAAGCATTTTGTATCATTGATCGATCTGGTCAATACTACTGACATTTGAAATCTATAAAATCCTTCACTTAAAAGTTTCTGTTACTGATCTTTCCATTATTGATGGCGTTTCTTTCCTAATCTTTTGTTTGAAGTAATGTCGAACATCAACATCTTCATTATGTCATTATTCTCCATTCGAGTTATACGTCCTGGGTATGACGATAAACTACACCCGTCTCCTGGATAAAACTACATCCGATAGCAAGGTCTCTGATCAAGAGGTTTTGAGGAGCGTGGAACCACCTCTTAATTGCTAGTGTTCCCAGGTCCACCATGACCCGGGGTAATAGCACCTGTTAGGGTCCTAACTATGGGCAAATAGTTAACCACTAAACTAGGGTTAAAGCACTATCAAAGTGTCTTAATACCAGCAATAAAGTTTTTGAAGGATAAATTATTACAAACAATACATTTTTGAAGGAAAATATTACCGGCAATACATTTTTGAGGAAAAAATATTACCAGCAATAAATTTTTGATGAAAAAAATATTGCCACCATTACATTTTTGAGGAGAAAAAAAATTGCCAGCAATAAATTTTGAGGAAAAAATATTACCAGCAATAAAAATATTGTTGGCATTAAATGACCCATTGAGGTCGATATGCCGTAAAACAAACTAAACCAAACCATTCGAGTTATATGCCATACTAAATTAAGTTATTGCTGCTGTTGAAAGTCCTCTATTAATTTGGTTTCTAATATTTGATACTGTTCTTTGTTCGTTATTATTGTAGAGCCAGTTCACAAGCTTCTAAAGAATGTTTTTTCACCAATATCAATAGCCTTCAACCTATGAAATAAATTGTCCAGTGCTCGGTATTTAAGTTTAACTGAAAACCAATATTAAATATGCCGATATCCATGTCAGTTTGAAACCAATTTAATATCACATGTAGCCTAAATCAAATGAATATGTACAACGTGTATATATATTTCAGCATTTTTGACTATTCATTCGTTATTAGTATCTGCCCTTCAGTATCTGTCTATTTCTGAGATGATGCATTATGTACACTATTTACATTATTCGGACTATTGTCCTCATCATTGTCGCCATTTTTATCACAACGTTTCGGCCCTTCAGTATATGTCTATATTTCTGAGATGAGGTATTATGTACATTATTTACATTATTCGGACTATTTTCCACATCTTTGTCACCATATTTATTACAACGTTTCGGCCGTTGTACGCTCCGGCCTTCTTCAGGTGGTTGAAATGTCGAACTGAACCCTTAATTTATATATATATATATATATATATATATATATATATATATATATATATATATTATTTATTTAAAAATATGATTCTATCGCTATATATTTTTAAATAAATTATTATATTTAGGTTCTACTTTTTGTATCGAGCACTGTTTTTTTTAAAATAACAAAAAATACTAAAGAACTTTAGATTATTTACCTAACGAGTTCTTTTTCCTATTTTCTATATATTTTTACACACACACACATCATATATATATATATATATATATATATATATATATATATATATATATATATATATATATATATATATATATATGTTAGTTGAGTTGTTATTTATTTTAGTTTTAGCGGATAATTGTATTCGTGCATAAGGTCCGTCTAATCTTAAACAGTATTTATTTCATCGAATCGCTTGCAATCCTAAGAATTCTTCTTAAAGAAAATCTACCTTCTCGCAGTATTGGAACATGCGTTTCAAAGCAGAAACAAGCATGTGTACCTGCGTGATTTAATCGCTCGTCTTCGAACAGCTTTAACAATTAAGTAAGATTCTCTTTGTATCTAAAGAACATTCATTCTTTCACATTTTTCTCGAAAGGCCTATCTGCTTAATTTCTTGTCCGAAATATATCTGTTTAGTTTCGTATCCGAAGTATATTCGTTTCGTATCCGAAATATATCTATTTAGTTTCGTATCCGAATCATAAAGAGACCAATTGCTAAAAAAGTAATGGAGTTTATTTTTGAATCCTACAAATGTTTATTACTTCAAACGTCAATTAATTTAATGCAAACGTCATTTGCAATAAAGAGCTAAATACGAGTCTACATTGCAAATAATGTCTTGAGAAATGTTGACCATCCACAAGATTCCTTTCTCTAATGTGAAGCGAGTCTCATTTTTCTAATATGAGTAGGTTTTTTTTCTCTAATGTAATGCGTGTATCGTCTCTCGAATGTGAGGCGAGTGTCGATTCCTTAATGTAAGGTGCTTATCCTTTTTCTGATATCGTTGTGGATTCCGAGATGAAATCTGGTCTCCGATGAATGACAAACGCTGGAATGAAATATAAAAAATAAATGTATTTACACAATAATACAATTGGTAATACGTTTAGTAAATCCAGAAACGTGGTTAGTAGCAATAATAATGTATATAATCTGGTAAACCCAGTCTCCAAGTAGGACTTCCTTAGAGTCTACGTGCTTGTAACTGGGACTTCTACAAGCGGTTACCTCACACTATTACTCTACTTCCAACTCTATCACAATCTCAATCTCAATCTCTGACTGACTCTGAGTATTTAACGGCAGCAGTCCAAGTACACACTGGTAGAGTCCACTTGTACGAAAAAGGGGTGGACCCCATAACACCCCACCTTAGTTCCCTTTTTGGGTGAGTTAGTTTTTTTGTCTCTTATAATTGATAATCAGGGGTTCGACAAATTTTCTCTTCCTGTTTGACCTTCTCACACTCCTGCGGTCTTTGGATCTCAAACGCTTCGAAGAATGTATCCATAGAATCGTCGTTTTCTGCGGTTGACGACCTTGGCTCCTCAACCCGTCTTTTTTGTAATTGGTTGATATGTCTTCAATGTGAAAACTTGTATTGGGATTTGTAGATAAGCCTCACTAAGATCTATTTTTGAAAATATCTTACCTCCTTTGAGCTTTGTAAATATCTCCTCTGGGCTCGGTAGTGGGTAATGATGGTCTTTTATTGCCTTGTTGAGTCCCGTCGAAAAATCTGCGCATACGCGGATTTCTCCTGACTTCTTTTTTACATAAACCACTGGCGGTGCCCACTCGCTAAACTCTGTTTTTGATAAAATACTGGTCAAGTTCACTTGTATGAAAAAGGGGTGGACCCCATAACAGATATGAAGCGAGTGTCATTTTTCTAATGTGAGTAGGGTGTCGTTTCTCTAATGTAAGTCAGGTGTCATTTCTCGAATGTGAGGCGAGTGTTTAGTGTGGCCAAAGTTAAAGAAATTCTCTTTGAAAAGAGCAGTTGACTAAGATAACATTTCACTAAGGAAGTCAGTGTGGTTATCATGACTTCCATACAATTAAAACCATGTGTCAAACTTAGAGATATTTCGCCAATAACAAATAAACTGTGTAGTAGATTTTTAGAGACTGTTTTTCTGTCGAAATGATTATATAAAAAACTCTTAAGTCAGCGTATTAGAGACAAGAATTTGTTTGTCTCATATGCGTTACAATATGTTAGTACTTGTCTTTACAAATATATATTTTGGAACAATAAAGTAAGAACGTCTTTACAGTAGTATGTACATTTTTCTTGTAATATTACAATGAATTTAGTCCACTGGGCAAAACTGTTGGGTTGCTAAAGTGAATATCCATTAGTTTTTTTTACCAGAAATAGTATAATTCTCTTTCACTGATATTTGTATGCTTGTTTATTCGGATATACACATCTCTGTGTGTTTTCTTAGATATAATGTTTACACAGACATACTGATGCAAATACATACATACAAGTATATAAGTTTACTTCATTCATAGATACTGTTTATATACCTACACATGTATATATATATACACAACCAAATAGGTGAACATTTGTACGCGTATTCCCAACAATGATTGTTCTCGCTTTCTGACTGTCACATTTATATATTCATATCTATGTCTTATACAGTTTCCTGTTCA